TTTATAATAGGTCCCTTTTTCGATTTACACATTTAAATGTAGATCTTTTTTTGAAATATCAATAGTAATCGTGACTTGCAGATCTATCCATAAACGGATTTTTAACCATGCTCATGAATTGATTTTTTTTTTTGGAAAAACAATTTATTTTTGACAGAGTCCAAGGTGACAAAACATGAGTGTTGTTGTTTGGTTTGGTTTAGGTATCCTAAAGAAAACATGTTAATAACTAACCAGAGATACTTTTTTTCTTTGTATTGATATTTTTATAAATATTTTAATTGGAATCAAAACACAGAGCAGATCTTGCTGGGTAATTATAAGATCCTCATCAAGATGATAATGAATGAACAATTGGTATTTTGCTTTGCGTAATCGTTAATAATATTACTATTATTATAATTATAATATATCAAGGCAGCACACCATTGAAAAAGAAACATTTCAATATGCAATGTTTAATTATTGGAAATTGGCAGGTGTTGAAGCACGCATGCTGCCTTGATCACTTTACAGTCATTCACACACATATTCCTCATGTACATAAGGCTAATCTGACTTGCGATGCCCGATGATATGATGATGAAACAGAATTCCAGGGGGGTCGCTCTACCCTGGAGCTACATCAAGACTGCATCAATCGTCAAGGATGCTTTTCACTAATCTTCCCTCATAGCATCCAGACCAAAAAAGGCTGCTGGCATGCTAGCCGAAAAGTTGCCTGCAACGACCCTACCTCTAGGGTAAGGATGGCTCTGTGACCAGGTCGCAACTCTGTTGATGAATTGGGTGATTCCGGTCTGGGATAATCGTCATTAATCTCTACTAAATAATATGAATGTGCTACGGATTAATTGATAAAAATTAAATAGACGGAACGTAACACGAATTCAAAGGATAATAAATAATTATACACGTTATTAATAAATAAATAGAATTAGTAAAAATAAAAATAATGAAATAAAAATAATGAAAATAAAAATAGAGATTCGACCAAAAGATCTGCGTCAAAATCTAATTCCGGTAACACAGACAAAGTAGCAAATAAGGGAGCTTTGAAGAAAATGAGCATATAAATTTGGCTCACCAGGATATTGAAATTTTAGAGAAGAATTAGCTCCTGAGCAAGAGCATGCTCACGTAATATGACTGATATAGAGACAATTAGATAGTGAGAGTGCCCAAAGAAGAAACAGGTTATTTAATAAAATCTTATATAAGATTAAGATGAAAATTTAATCAATCAAGAAAATGGAAGAGCCATTGAATTGGGGAAGCAAATAATTGAGCAAGAAATAAATGTCAATCAACAAGCAGATCATGATAATTTACAAGAATTTAGCTAATGAAAACAGAAATTTACATCAGCATGGGTTCCTAAAAATTTAATGTTCTTTTGTCACGTGAATTACCTAAAAATGAAAATTGAGATTATCCGAAAATTTTGATAAAGATTTTGAGGAAAAAATAAAATAAATAAATAAAACAAATGTTTAAATTTTTTAGAACATCTAATAATATTAATATAACTAATATATCAAGAAAATTAAGACTTATAATCTATCCATTAAAGAATAATATAGGTTTGAAATTGATATTTTGTTCTAATAATGCATTATTACAAGGTACTACAACAACTATTAGAAAAAAGTATCAAATTCAAATACAAGGTTTGTTATTTTATACGACTGACACTCGAGCAACAAACCTTACAACTGCAACTAATACAACCATTAACACAGCTAAAACGAATACAACTGAACAACAATTAAATTACTACGAAAATTTTCGAAAGGCTATCAAGGCTGGTAACATTCCAGAAATAATTAAAACATACCAAGAACTATTTGATAGCGAGCAAAAACAAGAATTAAAATTTAAAGATTATAACAAAGCAATCGATTATATAAGTAGGTCAAATTTAGATGAACATTTACCAATTTTGTATAAAATGGTAGAAGATATGAAAACCTTAAACATTCAAACTAAATTATCTATATATACTTCACTTATGTATGCAAACAAACTTCATAATAAGCCTTGGGAGGCTTGGAGACTCTTTGAATCGTTGAAGCATAGTGGATACGAAATCGTTCACGTTGATGCTTATTTAGATGCTTACAGTTTATTGATAAATGCTTTCAAACAAACGTTAAATTCTGATGGTGCAATGATAGTTTTTGTGGATATGAAAAATCATGAAAAATTTCAACCTGTTGCTCATCATTATCATGATCTCATCGAGTTGTTTCAACTAAAAGGTGATGTCAAGCAAATGGAAAAACTTTATGACGAGATGATCGTAAACATAATGGAACCGCTTGAAAAAACATCGTATCTAATGATCAATCAATATATGGGATTGGGCGACATCAACAAAGCTCTTGTAATTTATAAAAGAATATTACGCTCAAGTAATATCGATAATGATGATGGCACCAATCACCAATTAGATTTGTTAACTTATAATAATATTATCTATCTAAGCATTCAGGAAAATAATATTCAAAAGGCCATGCATTTTTATGAATCAATGCTAAAAAATAACATTCAACCAAATCACACGACATATGACATGATGTTTAACATGTGGTTGGATAACGATGATTCAAAGAACGCATATTCAATTTATAAAAAAATGATTGAATCAAATATAAATCCGAATAAAGATTCCGGGGTTATAATACCATTATTATTTAAAGAAGGTGAAATAAAATCATCAATTGAAATATTTAAAAATGAAGTACAGGTTGCAAAGGAGCAAGGAACCACAGACGTTTATTATGACACAATAAAGAGGATTTTTAGAGGTTTTGATAAGAATCCATCACAAATAAAAGATTTTTTAAATGAGGTTAAAAATAATCATGGAATAGAAATTGATGAAAAAATAGGAACTCTGTTGCTATATCATTATATGTCTATTAATGATAATGATAGTTTAATAGAATTTTACGATATATTGGTAAATAAATTGAATAGTTCGATAGACACTGAAACTTACACAAAATTGATTGAGCATTTAATTAAATCAAAAAGGATTGAAGAATCATTGCAAGTCTACTATGAGGCTAGATCGAAATGTGGTTTGAATACAAGAAGTTATAACATTATACTAGACTCCTTTGCCAATATTAATCACATGTCCGAGGCTCAAAGAATTTTTGTTGACATGAGACGACTTGATGTCAAGCCAAATTCTTATACTTACAGCGCTCTAATAAAAGGACTAGGTAAAACTTATGATTATGATGGTGTGGTGAACTTTCACAATCTACTTAAAATGAATCTTGATGTAGAATTCGATTTAATAATTTATAATGCATTGATGGAAGCATATAATAGATGTGGATATGGTTATCAGGTTATTCAATTATGGGATTTGCTGGTATTGTCTGAACATCCAATTGATGATAAAACTGTTTCGATAGTTTTAGATACTTGTGGTTATTGTTACATCACTTATAAAATCAAAGAAATATGGGATTACTTAAAAGACAGGAGGTTTAAATTCTCCATAAATAACTATAATTCATACATAGAAGCATTATCACGTACCAATCAATTTACAGAAGCAAAACGTGCATTAATGTATGAATTACAACAAGATGGATTCGTACCGGAAGAGAAAACTGTAAGACCTTTATTATCTTTTTTGCATGATAAATCTAGAGGTAAAGATCAATTTCATATTATAGATTGGATTAGGAGAGAATATCCAGATTTAGCAGTAAAACTAAAATTTAGTAGAGTATAAGAAATTTATGATTTTAAGTTTATTTTAGTTAATTAATTATTAAAAATTAAGATATTATTATAAAAATATACAAATGGGATTTTCATTATTCAAAGAAAAAAAAACAATAAAAATAAATAATTAAAAAAAAAAGAGATGAAAAACAAAGCTAAAGAATGCTAATTTATAATTAATGATTAAATAATTAAATATGTAATAAATATATCATTGTTCAGAAAAAAAAAATTTAATAAATCAATAAATCTAACATTTAACAAAAAATTTAAAACTTATATAAATTCATTTCCATCTATAGGTGCTAAGTCGTTATAATCTTTAATTAGATTATCCCTTATTTTAAATAAACCTGATGATTTCATGCTAGTTCGTATTGTTGAATTGTTATGATATGCAAGAATGTTTATTGTACTTGCAAAATGACGTCTAACAGAAGTTGCTGTAATAATAACTTGTTGTTCTAGTTGTTGATTTGATATCACATTATGGAGATTTGTAGACGATGATGATCTAACCATAAAGTTTGGTAGCGAAGCAATAGCTAATTGGGGATTTTCAATGTCAATATTATTGTAGTTGTTATTATTGTTTTCGTTATTATTTTCATTATTATTGTTTTCTTGATTATATGACGAGGATTTAGAATGTGATGATGATATTGAGGATGCTGATGATGCTGACGATGGCGATGATGATAAAACTTTACAAATATGTTCATCCAAGTATTTATATAGAATTCCTAAATTTCTAAAAATAATGTTTGAAGTGTTTGTACTAACATTAACATTTGGATTTTTATCAAAATATGAAATAGTAATATCCATTATTCTAAGCGTAAAATTTTCGTAATAACTATTATTACTAGAACTTGAAGAAACCAATAAAGCACCTTTGGTCTTCGACGTAATGGAATTCTTTCTGCTAATGTCAAAAATCATCATTTTTTGAACTATTGTGTCGATAATTGTAAGAATACTTTGATGACGATAATGTGTTGTTCCCTCCGTCACCGTCATACCACTACGCACACTCACAAATCCTATTATCCATTCCAGCCAATTCTGTTCCCATAATATGCGCATATTAATAGGCGTCAACAATCTTTTTACATCTGTCAACGCTTGGAAGACCAACTCTGAATTCCTGGAAAGTTTAATTAAATCAAATAGTAAGCGAACCATTTCGGGATATATCAATTCATCTGACGATTTATTATTATCATTATTACTAATTGTTCTTATACTATCTACTGAGCTACGTTGCGAGCTTCTTTTAAAAATTGGCCGATCTAATGTTGTCAAAAAACCATTCTTGAATTTAGGATCATTTTGGTAATAATTAGTCCCCACTCCAATCAAAACTTGTGTAAACTCTAAAGAAAGCTCGTGCCCTGCTAAATATGAAAACATAACGTCAAAACCATTGTTAACTCTTGTTAATAATGCCTTGCTATGTTTAATATTGGAACTCATTAAGATACCAATCATCTTCAATATAATTATACAGAATTTTTCATTTGGAGCTTCAAGAAGCGGTGTCAAAAGTGATATCCCTTTCAATACACGTATCCTTTCCACAAGCTGACTATCATGCGTCATATTTTTATAAATTATCTCGACAATGTCATATTTAATATCCAAATTTACCCATTTACCATCACCGCATTCAATATAATTGAATAATTTGTTTAGCTCTTCTGTGGTGATTTCTGACATCATTGATTCAATTACTCGCATTATAAAAGGTTCAAGAGAACAGGAAAGATTGTCTAACAGTTCAAGTAATGTTTCCACTCCGAGATTCGTGCGCCAAATCTTGAGATTATTTGGAACCTCTACTAGCATATCAACCAACATTCTTATAACTGGCAATTGAACATCCTCTTTACAACAGCTGCCTAAAAGTTCAACAATCACTCTTAAACATTCTGTATTAACTATAACCATTTGATCATTTCTTGTTATCCCATCACTTGCAATGTCCATCAACACATTAAAATGTTCAATGCTCAATTCATTATTATTAGAATTGCCCAATAATTTTCGTAATGTTGAAAATCCATTGTTCTCGGTAAACTTTGCCATGTTTTGTGGACTTTTATAAAGTAGATTGGATATGGTACGAAGCCCAATCAACTGATGTCGTGAATCTAATTCTAAAAATCGAAAACATTGTTCTACTTTTCCAAATTGTTCAATAATGTCCCGCATAGATCGTGTTACATGCACTGTACACCCGCCCTCTAACTTTCCGGTTATTTTTGTAAAATCAATTGAATCCGAATTTCTTCTTGATTTTTCTGGCTCCAATATCAATTTTTGTTCAATACTTAAATAAGATTGCGGGTGAACTGAAATAAATTCTTTGTTCTCGATTCCTAGAACACGATAATTTTTTGAATATGCTGGTCCTTGATTAAAAACCTTTTCCGCAATTGTTTCATCCCAGAGCCCTCTGAAAAAATAAATCGATGCAATTTGTCCGTGAAAATATCCATTAGGTGATATTGGCATTGGTGGTATTGATGGAGGTATCGGTTGTACATTGTCACCGTTATTATCATTGTTATTATTATTTAATGACATTTTCTTACCACGACGTCCCACGACTGCTACTATTTTCTCTTTCCCCATCGCCTTTGGAGAATTAAACATATCATAAGATTGCATAGAAGAACCATCAACAATCAAAGAAGTTCCATCTTTCGAATGCACGAAAACAATATGATGCCAAACGAGGGTTTGCTGAAAAGAAAATCCATCAAATACAAAGTCCTCGGGTGGTAACGGAAATTGTTGTGTTTTTACACATAAACAATACCTATATGGCTGGTCAATTTTCTTGAAATAAAGTTCGAATGTTGTATTGGCACCCGTTAAATCTTCATAACACAATAATCCAATTTCATTCTCTAGAAATGCAGTAACCTTCACCCAAAGACTTAAAGTATACCCATTTTTCACATTAGGAAATTTATCCATTGGTATAGTTTGCAAACTGCTATCAAATCCGTTGAAATTGAAATAACACGATGGATCCATTCTTTCAGAAATACGTTCAATCGCGTATATCATTTGAGATTGTACTTCACGCAGAAAAAAAGGATCATAATCAATTTCTGCAGGTTCATTTTTAATAATATTATTGCTTAGTGGTTGCTGTTGTTTTTGTTGCTGTAGGGCCATTGATTTACTAAAAAATCCTTTCGCAAGAAATTGTTTAAGCATTGAAAGAGGATCATAAGCAGCATCAAATAGTAGTGTCACATCATGATTTGTAATATCATATGCTCCAAGTGCAGGAATTAAGCCAACGTATGGTGGTGGTGATAATGGGTGTGCAACAACAGTAGCATCGTTTGAACTTATTTTTGACTTGTAGTGTTTTTGTTGATTGTTATTATTATTGTTCCCTTTTACAAATAACATCTCCGTCACAAATTTAAGACCATGATTAGCACAGAGAAATTCCTTGTTTCGTGGATTAACTTCCATCAATGACATTATAAGATTAAAATAGTATCTTTGTAAAGTTTCATCACATTTATCTGTAATATGAGCCAATATTTTTAAAGACATGAAAGCGGCATCAATGTCACGGAAAACAATATCAGTCCCGTTTACAAGTTTTTCTTTAACTTCTTCGGTTACATTAGTACCATTGCTACTACTTCTGCTGCTACCACTACCAATTGTTTGGTTGGAACTTAAACTAAACCCACCAAGGTTACGAGAATTACTACGTTTACGAGTGGTTGGTTGCTTATCTTTTTTTTCGAGCATTATTTCCTCGGATTTTATTTGATTCACTCTTCTTACAGGTGATAAGGTAGGGCTTGGAAGTTGCATATTACTTCGAATAGACATAGTAGGAGAATCTAAACGATCGTGTGAACAATTGTTGGTATTTAACCCGTTTGGCTTATTACTATTGTTACAGCTACTATTAATTGCAAGCGAACTATCGTTTGTTGTCGTTAAGTCATTTTCATTAGTCATAAATATAGTATTATTTAATGATACAAATGAACCATTCAAAGTACTTCCTTCATAAATACTGCTGTTATTTACTAAAGAAGACATGCTATTGATAGTAGCACGACTATTGTTCCTTTTGTGACCTTGATTTCTACACGAGACCCTAGAATAGTTGACGAAGAGGAGAAATAAATAAATAATTAATTAATTAACCAATATATTTATATATCTAATTATATAATTTATGACAAAAAAAGTTTTTTTTATACATACATTTTCTTATTAAAAGATATTTGTCTTTTTTGTGTAAAAGGTAACAAATTTGTAAACAAAGGCACAGGTTTTAATAAATTGGTAATAAATGGCATGATATCACTACTGATTAAAAAATTATCAGTCTTGGCTATAGATGGTGACAATGGTCGTAGTACACTTCCATCAGTTGCTACTTCGAGAAAAATCTCACAAAAAGCTCTAACAAATTAACGGAATATAAAACTAATTAATATATACTCTACACACACAAAAAATTACGTGAGAACTTACTTATCAATAGGTATTGTAGAAGAAAGTACCAATTCAAGAAAGCCATCATAACTAAAAGAGTTTGCGCGTAACAGTTGAGCATCAACGTGACTTGAAAAAAAATTACCCACTGTCTGAAAAGCAGCTGAAGCGACATTTGAATTGGTTGAATGTTTTATTATACTAATCAAAACCTCCAAACCTCCAAACTCGCCAAATAATTTCTTTGCCCTGTCACTCTTGTTTAGCACTGAAGATACTAAATTACAAACTTTGGTTTGAAGCCAAGGAAAGTTAATACGTTTAGGGCGATTTTTTACAGAAGGAGGAGGAAAACCCCTATTATTATTATTTCTAGAATGATGAGAATAAGATGATGAAAATGATGATGATGATGCTGATGATGATAATGACGACGATGACGACGATGACGATGACGATGATAAGCATGTTGTTATATTTGAAACGGCAATTGGAATCGTTAAATTTTTACTACTTTCAAAGGAGGA